CTCCAAGTATCTAAGATAGTAACTATATATGATCGGTCAATTAGGGGCGAAAGAAAAGCCCAGTTTTAATTAATGAAGTCTCCAGTAGGCACCACTTCTACGAATACGGAGTCACGGATGGAAGGAGACAAGAGCAGAAAACTTGAAAGGGGAGAGGCAATACACACCAGTCAACGTTCTTCCAACCAGTCTGGAAGGTCCCTTTTTTACGCCAGATACACACCAACTTAAGGGGGAGGGGGAATGACTGCGAAAAAGGGAGAGGTTGGACTGGATCAGGCGGGGTGAAGTGGGTCCCACTCTAGGCTTTTCCGAGTCTAGTCCGGGTGTTTCGGCAACGTTGATTGCACCGCCGGGAGCACTAGTGCCGTTTAGTCCCAGTGCTGTCACCGCCACACTTTCACGCCGAGTACCGCTCGTCAGGTAAGCGGGTAATTTAATACACCCAGGGCGCTAAAGGGGGACCAGAACGTGTACTTGTTGCTAACGCTGAGAAGTATTATCTGGCTGGAGAGAGATAGAGAGATCCGATGTATGTATATCAAGACAATTTTAGAGAACGAGGAAAGAGATAGATAATGGTGGTTATGGAAGTATGCATTTCCGTGGATGTACTCTTCCACCCTTGTTTATATACACCCAACCTGAATGTCAAAACCATCCCCCACCATGGTTGCCTCCAGGCAGAATGATTGTGGCCTTCCTACAATGATTAACTTGTCTTCCCTTACTGTTCCTCTCACCCGGACATTCCGTTGAGGTGGCCCTTCCGAAGGGCTGAGAAAGAGCAGGCAGGAGGACAACCAGAAGGAGGGAAAATAATCACGATGGCAAAAACACTTGCGCACCCTCGTGGGGCTGAACCCGACCCAGGGTTGCCGCCGTCAATGGCTCAGCCCGAGTGTGTACCACTGAACAAGATTGGAACAATAATAATCATGGCCCGATGATGATGATTATGATAGTGATGATGATAGCCTACAGCGTTAGCTTACCCACGACTGGATAATAATAGCACTGCCCGCCTTGGAGCCGACGGGCCAGGGAACAACCAAGAGCTGAGAATGGGCGATGACCATAGCCCGACCGGTCCTAACTTCAGGCTTCTGGATCCTTCCCCCCCGTTCACTAAATCTGAACCACTTGGTCTGTCCGGCTTTTTAAGGGGTTCGTACTCTTTTGCCCCTCGTTCGTGTCTCCTTAGCCTCTAGCGTGGCCGTTCTTTCCTATCCCTGAATTTTGTATCCTCTTTAGTTAATAATGCAATTGCCTGATCGTCTCCGTGTCCGCTGCTCTCTCCGTACTCCGTCATATCTGTAGTATCCCTAATTCCACGTCAGGTAGAAATGATCGACTGATGCCCTTCGATTCCGGTCAATTCCTATGCGCTGTCAGATTTCTTTACCGCCGTTTTCCCACCGGGCCCCCGAAATTGGGGGCTTCGAAGAAGAAAGCCTAGCCAGAACTGATGCCCGCCCCATGGAATGTCAATCGCATAAGGGCCGCGTTGATTCTTCGTAAGCCGATCTTCATTGGCGTTGCAGACCAGTGAAGAATGCATGGTCATCCAACGGTATCCTCGTGCCACGCGCAGAAATGTCTCGGTCGGTGAACAGCAGCCAGAAGTCACTGCATATCGGGCATGTATGACCGCATCGCGGGGTTATCCGAGCATGGCGGGGTACAATGCAGCGCCGCTGGCTGGTTTTGATTTGACCAAGATAGCAAGCTATACAGAGAAGGTACTATCAGTATGAGGATCCGAGCAGATACAGCATCAGGCCCTGTCAAGTAAAAGTAAAGAGGACTGCAATTGTTGTTCCCTTCTCTCGCAGACTTGAGTGTCAGCGTTGCGGTGGAAGGAGGTGGAAGGCCGTCGGAGCCGCATGAACCCTCTCGATCCGTCCAGAACATCACGCTTTTTCTTTGCCTTCATAGAACACCGGCGCATCTTTTTGCACAGTCACATCCACCACCATATCCCTGCTATAGAGATCATTTCACAGTGATTGATACAATATACATAGTATATATTTTTGCCTATTCTCTTTTTCCAACAACCTCCAGCCGTCATCTAGACACCTCACCACCTCCAACACAAATTTTACTCTCCACCACCGAACCATCCCCCACATCAACACCATGGACCCCAACATGAACAGTCTCCTTAAATGGAGTATCAAGGCCGCTACCGAGGAGCAAGCCTCCAGTGATAAGAACGACTCCGGCAACAATGCCCCCGCCGATCCCTCCCGCGGCCTCACGCCGCAGATGCTCTCGACGCTATTCGGTGGTCCCTCCGAAGCCGACCTGATGAAAGCCGCCATGGAAGCCCTTTGCTCCGATGAAGTCGACCTGGAGAACAAGCTGATCGCGTTTGACAACTTCGAACAGCTCATTGAGTCGATCGATAACGCAAACAACCTGGAGCCTCTGGGTCTGTGGACCCCTCTGGTCGAACTGCTTGACCACAACGAACCGGACATGCGTCGCATGGCGGCGTGGTGCATTGGCACGGCTGTGCAAAACAACGAAAAGGCGCAGGACAAGGTATGTTATTAATGTCTCATTGTCGCCTTTACATTCGGCGTCCAAATAAAACTAACTTATACCCCACAATAGCTTATTGTCTTGAATGCCCTTCCGAAGCTCGTCACCATTGCCACCACGGACACCACTCCCGTTGTTCGCAAGAAGGCCATCTATGCTATCTCTTCTGCAGTACGCAACTACCAGCCCTCCATGGACGAGGTGACTAAGAGTCTCCCCGAGGGTTACTCTCGTGACAAGATCGACGCCGGAGACATGGATGCCGTCGATGCGCTTATGGACAAGCTGCGCGCTCACAAGGTCGAGGCTTCTGCTTGAAGAAAAGTCAAATCGACATATGTGACATGTACTGTTGATAGGATGCTGTAGCCTAGCGAGCCTACTTCGTCGTCATCTGGCTAGCACGTGGCCGATGTCAAGAGCAGAGCCCTCGAGGCATACGCGCATTGCGCGTATACGTAGGGATGATCTTCCCCGGTATGATGTGGCTGGGCTAGGCAGTCGACTTGGACAAAGCTGAGCGACGATTTCTGGCTCAATGGTGGCATGCCGTGATAGGCACCCACCACCATGTTGAGGCTCACGGTTCAGAAGCTATGGGAGAATTTTCCACCCCACTTGATCCGAAACCGATCAGATGGAACATGGTGCATAGCTAGATGCGATTTACCGTCCTTGGCAGTCCACATGGCTGCCTGGAATTAGATACCCTGCGCTACTTTGAGATGCCATGCGCCCTATGCCAAGAAATATATAAACATTGAACATGATATCACTCCACTTTCAACAACCATAAACATTGGATGCCTGTCAATCATCTTCATAAGATACTAGTTTATTTTGTTGCCTGGGATTACCAGCCATAGATGATTTAATCTTGGCAACGCGTGTACTTATTTGCTGGGCTCCTGCCGTAGTACATTATAACCAACACCGGAAGTGATTATATGGATGCCTATCCCGCAAAGGAACGTCATTCTACCTTCAGTGAAGTACAAGAGAACTCCAACTCTCAGAAAGATATCCATAATCATGATTTGTAACAAGCATGCTAAAAGAGAAGGAACAACTACCTAGTAACCAAACAAGCACAAAATGCAGACCACATAATGCGGACATTGCTTTATACAACAACACGACAACCATCATAAAGAGTAACTGAACTCCATGATTCCATCAAGGAACAAGAAGAGATAGTAAAGACCGACCACAAAAGAAGCGCACATTCATAATACAATAATACGTCGCGGAGTAGTAGTATCGCTTTCGTCTCATACCAGCTAATCAATCAATCAGTCGACAGGAGAACAGGTATCACGACTGAACACCTGATAACCATAGCCCATTTCATCTCATATGGTATATCCATCCATCACAGAGCAAGGTTGTAGGTGTAATCGTCTTCTATATTCTGGGAGATCCATAGGACGATGGTGCTGCAATCGCAGAGTTCATTAGCAAATCCGTTCCTGCACTGCCTTTTTTTTTCCAACAAAGACATATGACGAAATACACACCTCAGCATAACCAGTCCATTCGCAATAACGTTCGCAATACCGAAGTAAAGTGTCGGAAGGGGATATCCCTGGATCAGGTACTTGAGTACCATGACCGTCTATATTCCCATCAGTTAGCCATTCCACTCCACTTCACTCCAGCAACTTCAATACCCCAAACAACAGATAATAGGGTAACAAAATAGGGTAGGTTTGCAGGTAAAATACTAACCACACTCCCAGCCAATCCACCCGCGAGCAACGCAAATCCCAAGAACAGCACAAACCTCGCCTTCCACGCAACCCCACTTCCACTATAACTGAAGCTATCGGCATGAAGACGCGACTTCTCAATCGAATTGATAACGAGCATTCCGAGCGCGGAGCAGATACCGGGAATCCAGTCGACGAACTTGACGTGCACGAAGGAGCCGTTGCGGGCGCTGTGGGAGAAAGCGGCGGCGTCGATGAGGAAGAAGAAACCCAGGGAGAACTACTGCCATGTGAGTGGGTTGTGTTGTTTGGTTGTGGTGGTGACGATGGGAGCTTGCTTACCAGTGCGCCGGAGGTGTAGACGCCTGCGTTGCGCACGGCGGAGTTGTTAAGCCATTCTGGCTTAGACCAGCGGAAAAGACGGTTGTTGGAGACGTCCATTGTGATGCGGGTATATTATGAGTATGTGTGAGATGTGATTCCGGGAGATGGAGTGTGTGCCAGCACTGAAGATGGTATCACTGTATGGCTGGATTGGCGGGTTGGTTGGAGCTGTTCGGGGAAGCCGGCGATGATGCAGTGCCGGGGCCGGAAAATCACCTGCCCGATCTATGCTATCTAACACTATCTAGACCTAATGTGAGAAGAGGAATCTGTCATGCAGTGTTTTTTAAGGTTGTATATTCTACATGTTTAAAAGAAAATCAGATAATGTAGTATGGTATGATTATTCCATTGATTGTGGCATGTATACCATGCTGCGACGAGGCGGTATACACCTTGGGTAAACAAGGGTAAACATTGATAGCTTCCTGGCCTCAAATAATATCGCTATGCTATATACTTCGTAACTCATCACTCGTTATCTGTGCCAGACAGACTCAATTCTCTTCACAAAACAGTTTCAAAACCTCATCGATGTACGTCATTGCCTTCCCCTTCTCCAACAGTGGTGGCTTATTCGGCGAGCCGTCTTCGCCTGCAGACGGCTCTTTCAGGTACTTCCGCAGTGCAAAGGTTGATGCGCGATAGGTCGCATGGTACATAGCCTTGAATTCATCTTCATCGGTATTGGAAATATCCTCCCCATTTGCAGGGGCCATATCGTGGCTACCGGTCCCGGTTTGCGGCCTACTCGAGCTCGCAGAGCGCGTTGTAGCACGGTTGAAGCCATAAAGCCGCATGCAGGTCAGAATTGTCCGTGTTATCGTGTTTTTGTTCTCGGCAATAATGGTTTCTGCATCCTTGGGCGTAGCTGGAGACTCAAATTTCCCTTCAGATGGCAATTCCGGGGACAGTTCTCTTTCCTTTCGTAATGATGACTCCACAAACGGGTTTGGCGTGCCTCGCCGTGATTTCAGTTCGCGCACGTAGCCTCGTCTGCTGCTAGGCCGTGACTGCTCCGACCGAGCTTCCAGAAGTTTGGAGCTGAGATTCGCCCCGATAGATACAGACCGGGACCGTTGTGAGGCGATACGGTCCAACTGGGGAAGAGAAGGCTCCTCTGACTCTCGTTTAACCCGAAGACCTTGCAGTTGCTGGGACGACTGAGAAAGTGATCGCGCCATTAATTGCGATACAGCCTCACCTCCCTTCTGTCGTACCCTTTTATGATGCTGCGCCACTGATTCAAAGAGCGTCGCTACACGTCTGCGCTTGGGGCTGGGCGAGCGAATGTCCGGAAGGAACTGAGGGGATTGGCCGTGGCCATCGGTATCTTGTGGAGATGGGAGAGACTGAGATTTGGCAATGAGATGTGCAGAGATCGGAGTGGCGTATATTCTCAGTTCTTGTCTAACAACATGGGACGGTTGGTGGTCTAGCTCCGGTGAAGAGACAGGCGGGGTGGGCGGTCGTTCATAGGAAGTCGTCATGGACAACATCCCATGTATCAAGAGATCGGTCGTGTTGGTTTCAGAGGGCTTTGTTCGCCCATCATTATCAATCCCCACGAGCAGCCCAATTGGGCATTGTAGGGTCTGGATCCGATCCAAATCATCATCTTCCAACCAGATAGTGCCCGTCAGCTTGTCCTTCAGCCATTGCGAGGTCTGCGGGCTATTCGTGTGGAGTTCGAGGTTGGGACCACATCGCGCATAGAGTGGTATGAGGGACGGGTTAACGAAACAGCGAAGACTGAGCGCGGAGTCTCTGCCAATGTCGGATTGCCAGTTTGACGACCGGTCAATTAATTGTAGGCCTAGCTTTGGTGATGAATAGGGCGAATGTAGCCAGGTGGTTGGCGGGGCTCACCTTGGAGTTGTGTGCCTCCATCCAGCGATATTGTGCCGGACCATACATTCATGTTAGAAGGACGAGGGATCACTCGTTCACATATTACTCGTGCTTGTGATGATGTTATCAGATCATTGTTGGATGTTCACTCACCAGTCGGCGCGGGTAATTTTACACGACGCGCCCAAGGCGGCGCGCCCCCACGTGACCGGCATCTAGGCACAATTACAGAGCGGAAGACATCGGCATCTCCAATGATAAAGTGAAGGAGATGGAGGTATGGGTTTATGGATCTGGATAAAGGAATGTATCACACTGCACTGGCAGAGTTTCTATATAACCTCGTACTGGCTATAGTACATCAATCGTATCATTGAACAACGAGAGTAAAATCAACATCGACTCCCGGGGCATCAAAAAGCACATCAGTACGCCTAGCATACGTCAAATCAAAACGATGTCTCATAAAGGTGCATTGGTCAAGAACATGGAAGGCGGCTTGCTTCAAAAGGTCGATCAACAATCTGCGAGCGGGTATCCAATGCGAAATCTGGTCTTGCAGATATCGGTGGGCATGGCAATTTAAAAGTCTTCCTGTTCCCTGAAGAACATGGAGAAACTGATGATGGTTCCGTAGATCAACAGACCGCCAATGATGGACATGATCATGGCGGGGATCTCGATAGCGCCGCTGTGCGCAAGAACGGCGGGGAGGGCTAATGAAGCGATTATGGTCAGCCGTGGATCGAGAGAGTCAGGAAGAAACAATGGTATATATCTCCGGTCGCAGCACAGTCTGCAGTCGCTTTCAATGGTAGGGATGAATGCGATCGCCGACCTAGCCCGCCTATCCGAGAAACCCACTCACCAATACCCATCAGCACCAGGAAGCCCGTCAGGAAACGACCAAAATCAGCAGCAGCATTTCCAGAGCTGTCCATAAAGTCATCGGGGTTTGCGCATCGCGAGCAGATCCAGTTGGGCAGGGGAGCAACCACGTAAGTCGCAACGACGACCAGTGGGAGGAAGTTGTGCCAGAGCGCCGATGACAAAATAACCAGCAGGAAGCCAATGGCGAGAACCTATGCCGAGATAACAATTAGCAAGAGTCCAAAGCAGCAGAAGTAAAGAAGCTTCATTCTAGCTCCCAAGAAGACATACAAAGGAGAGGGCGATGATCGTCTTGAGTCCGGCGGTCATGATTGCGGAGTAGGACTGTTCAGGTCCAGGACAACAGGCAGAAGTGAGAGGAGCTTCGCACCAACGAAGCTTGACTGGTAAAGCTTGTGGGAAAGATAGTAGAGTCAAAATAGCATGGGTATTAAGACGGAATGGCGACGAGAGGAGCACCGCAAACCAAGGACGGCCAGAGCCTGGATGAAGCAGGAGATTGGAATGGAATGAATGGATGGAAGGCAGTGACGTGCAGCGGAAGTGGATGATGGGGCGGGCGGCCTGAGGCAGCGGGCCAGCCAAGCAGTGAGAGCTTAGCCTTAAGCATGAGTTACTCTCAGTACTACCGCGTCAGTGCTTCTCTGCCTGCCCTCCAGCTCCATATCTCTCTCCCATCCACTCCTGCTCCCTACTTCATCGTCTTGATTCCTCTATTTCCCCCGTTGAGACTCAATATACTTTCTGGTCTCTTCCATTGAACTGACAGAGACCCCTATTCACCCACCTTCCGAGTCTCTCTACCCAAGCTTCCGCCATGTTCAGAAACAACTACGACAACGATGCGGTCACCTTGTATGGACCTCCCCAAGCTCCCTCATCCACCAGAACAAAGCTTTGCCTTCCCTAGTATTTTCAGATTACTAACGAAGCTCTTTAAAGCTCTCCGCAAGGCCGGATCTTCCAAGTCGAATATGCACAAGAAGCCGTGAAGCAAGGTTCCGTCGTGGTGGGACTCGTCAACAAGACACATGCCGTGCTGGTCGGCCTCAAGGTTCGACATCCCACTTATTCCCTGGCTCTTTCCTCTCGGGGCACATCCAGCTGACAGGAAAATCTCCAGCGTAATGCCGAAGAGCTTTCCTCGTACCAGAAGAAGATCATCGAAGTTGACTCCCACATGGGCATCGCCATCGCCGGTCTGGCATCGGACGCTCGGGTGCTCTCCAACTTCATGAAGCAGCAGTCTCTCAGCTCCCGCATGACCTACGGCCGCCCGCTCCCCGTCGACCGCATTGTCAGTCAGATCGGCGACCGCGCCCAAACGAACACTCAACATTACGGCAAGCGCCCCTACGGTGTCGGTCTGCTTGTCGCCGGTGTCGACGACTCCGGCCCGCACCTCTTCGAATTCCAACCCTCCGGTATGACCCATGAGATGGTGGCATGCGCCATCGGAGCCCGCTCCCAAATGGCTCGGACCTACCTGGAGCGGAACCTGGACAAGCTGGAGTCCACGTCGCGCGATGAGCTCATCACGCACGGCCTGCGGGCACTCAAGGAGTCCCTGTCTCAGGACAAGGAGCTGACGGTGGACAACACATCCGTGGGTGTGGTGGGGCTTGCGGGCGATGGTGCCTCGGGGAAGATCGAGAGCTTCAAGCTGTACGAGGGGCAGCAGCTGGTGCCCCTGCTGGAAGCACTGGAGCAGGCGGATGCGGGCGAGACGAAAGAAGAGGAGACAATGGAGGTTGATTCATAGGAGCAGCAAGATGCAGCAGATACATCATTGATTTGATAGTCACGATCCCGGAATAATATCACGTTTCCCACACCTGATACCATCTATATATATAACCTAACTCGGCTCGACCAACATCTACAACTAATCTTGCTACTAACTACTACTTAGACATCACCTATTCCTCCCCCCAATTCAACCTCATCCTCCCATTACTAACCCTATACCCCTTCAACCTTGGCCAAACATCCTTAACATCATTCACCTCGACGAGAATCCCCCCATTCTCCTCCCCAATATACCCCTCCTGCACGGCCTTCCTCACCCACGCCAACACCCCATCCCAATACCCATCCACATTAACCACCACCACCCCAGCCCCATGAATCCCCAACTGATTCCACGTCGTCATCTCCATCACCTCCTCAATCGTCCCGAACCCCCCCGCCAACGCCACAAACCCACTCCCAGGCCCCCCCTCCTGCACCTTCGTCGCCATAAGCCGCTTTCGCGCATGCATATCCGCCACGATCGTGGTCGTCCCGTACTCGGATTCCTTGAACATAGACTCCTTTGTCTTCGCAGTAGTGCCATTGGTAGTGGTAGTAGTACTAGCGGCTGGGATGATTCTTTCCGCGTCCTTGCCGGACCGTGCTTGCTGGACTCCTGCATTTGGGCCTGTGTCTGGGGGATGCTCCGTTGCATTGTCGTACCCCGGTTCTACCTTTACTAATGCGCGCGGGATCACGCCGTGCACGGCTTGCGGGCCGGAGAGTTTGACCAGCTCGCGGGCTATCGTGCCCATTAGACCTGCTGTGCCGCCACCATACACGAGGTGGATATTGTTCTTGTGGAATTCGTGCGCGAGTTGGCGCGCGGCTTCCATGTGGCGTGGGTTGGTGCCGGAGACGGAGCCACAGCTGTAATGGATTGGTTAGTTTGATAGATCATTATGTTGGTGCGTGGTGGTGATGGTGTGGATTTTTAAGTATAAGTATAAATGCGGGGTGAGGGGGGTGAGATGATACTACTAGTATATAAAATGATATGATCTGTTGGTGACTTACAATACGCAGACCACTGCAGGCTTAGTCCCGTTCACGGAGCTCATGATGTGGTTGAAACTTGTTGAAACTACTTGCTACTGATGAAGAAGACACAAACTCGCTCTTGTCGCTTTTTCAGAATGAAGAGGAGAAGTTCAATGGGGGTTTTGCCCTGAGCTCAACGGTTTAAGATGTCGGTGCAGTGATGTAACCGATTTCTTGAAGCTGCGGTTCTGGATCCGAATGCGGACAGACTGCACAAAACATTGGGGAATAAAGTGGCGGTAGTAGTCATGATGGGGATGGAAATCTTAGCTGGATTTAAATAGCATGCGAGTAAATGAAAGTCTGCAATGAGGATGTGATATATGAGTCAGAGATACTTGACTGTCACTGGGATTGGATTGGGTGGCCGTGCGGGGTTGCTTTGCTGTCCTTGCTTGGGTACAGAAAAAAGTCTATAGAGATAAGCTGGAAAAAGAAGAAGCTGATGGCAATAGCCAGCTGCACTTGTAGATTGGTTAAGAGATCTAGCTATCCATGTCTAGAATGGAACCGGGATGAGAGAATCCTGCTCTCATGATCATTAGGGTATCATTATTGTGTCCTTCCACTTCAACTGCCAACCTTAGTTTTCTTCTTCCGCATCTTATTCTCTTCGGATCCTGATGGCGTCGCCCCCTTCTCTGATACCTTCCCTGGCGTATCAACCCGGACCTGCGGCGTTCCAACCTTCGCGGCAGGGGCTGGTGGTTTCGCTGCTGAGGTTCGGTCGGTGTCATTGACGCGGGATAGAATGAACGATCCCGGCTCTCCCACCAACGGATGCTCGTCCATAAACTCCTCCCCATACCTTCGGAGCAGGTTGAATGACTCCGCGAGTGTCCGTGTGTCTTGCAGGTTGGAACCAGTGCCGACCACCTGTGAAGAGCCAACGAGCGAGGCCTTGCCAGCTGCATCGGCGTCCGGTAATGGGGTGTTCTCCTTGCTCTGCTGCGACTGCGTGCCAGGTTGACTTGCGTCGGCTTGTTTGAGCGCAGGCGGCATATAGGTATGGCCGTGGGACGGGGTGAAGGTAGGTAGTGTAGATGCTGTCTTTAGCAAGCTGGTGAGAGACGTAACTGCGGACAGCTGCGCAAGAAGTCGGAGTTAGCATTAGCACTAAAGAATGTCTAGGAAGCAAAGTCACAGGAAAGAATTGACGTACGATGCGGTTCCCCACAACACTCGCAACCGAGGGGGCCATGTAGATGCAGTCTCCGACGATAAAGTACGTTGACAAAACTACCACCTCATCTTCCAGGCCGGTCCTCTTGCGCCGGTTCTGCTTGCGAATCACCCAAATGTTTGACGGCTCGTGCGCAAATCGACCATCAGGTTGTGCTGCTGCCTGGATAGGATCATATGAAACCACGAATTCCAAGCCCTGCATAGTCTTTAACCGGTTCTCGAAGGCCTCGCGCGTCTCGACAAAGTGCCGGAAAGCTTCATTGTAGTTTGCTTGGATGGCAAGTGAGGCGTTGTTGGATGTTGGGTCAAAGAATGGCGACTCTGCAAAGTAGAAAAGAACTGCGCACGCAATTAAGAGTATTAGTAGGCGACTTTTGTCGTTAATGGGAGCTGAATCTCGTACTGTTGTTGGAGTGGAGGTATCCTCCCATCATCTGGACGTGGGGCGGGGACCGCCAGAGGATTTCCTCCATGGAGGCATCGGGTGTGCCCGCCATGAGATTGCCGTCCGAAAAATGTTTCTCGCTCTGAAAATCGTCAGAGATTGCTACAGTAGAGACGACGCAGCTGAATTGGGAGCTCTGGAGAGATCCAGAAGATCGAAGGCCCGCGCATCTCTCCGCGGAGGTAATGCCGGTGTTTGTCCGGTTTGCATCACTGGCTATAGCCCGAATGGAACGGTTGGGACACTACAGAGTACACACTGAGAGAAATTTGATGAAAGATTAGAGCGACTCGCTGTCTCGTAATATGTACATGTCGGCGCCTGGCCGTCTGTAATTAGATTGATTTACAATAAATCCTATCCAAATCCGAACACGTTGCTGGACTACCCACTCGGTTCTGGAGCAGCTCTACCTGCGCTCGCGAGCTTGGCTGTTATCTTGGGGAAATATTGCGCAACAAAGCTTTCGCTAGAAACATTGTAAGCCATGTTATCAAGAGCAACTAAAAGAAACGAGGCTATTGCGGGAGCAAACTTACGTATAGTAACTGTGGGCAGAGCTATGGTCTCCCACCAGGTTATGGGCCAGTTCGTGGCATAGGATCACCCACCAGTATACAAGTGCATCCGCTCGGTCGGCAGTCGGGTTTGCAAGCAGTTGCTTCTCGTGAAGCTGTTGGAAGTAGAAGTAATTGCAGAATACACTGCCCGCCCGGTTAAAGGCGATCGTTTTGCCCCCAGGATCATAGAAGATACTGAGGATGTCTGACCGGAGCGAGAATACCCCAGCACAATCCATTAACATCGAAGCAAAGACATTAATGCCGACGCTATTCTTGGCTAAAAATTGACTGCGATCCGGGAGGTTCTTCACAAACAATACGTGAATCCCACAGGCAAGTGTCGCGACAAACTCTAGATCATGACTGGGCTTTTCGTCACAGTAGGACTTCTTCTCGGTGATCTGGTTCGTCTCAGGCCGGCTATAAACATCAGAAGATCCATGGGGCCGACACGCCTGGATGGCGGAGAGCAGCTCCGACTGAAGTCGATGGGGTGAATTGACAGTG